CTCCAGCGAATGCACACGACCGCCCCCATGTGCGCCGACACCTACAGGCAAAGAATCACACGGAGGTCCGCACAGAATAACCGGCGGCGGGAGGCAAGTGCCGTCAACGCAATATTGGTGGTGGCGGCGGTTTGACGCGACATGAGAAATGGTGGACGAAAGACTGAGAATGACCCTTTTCCCTCACCAGCCTACACTTGCGCTATGTAAGAAACGTTGTCGGACACAGACCACCTTGAAAAGCTACTTGACGCACCTTTTTCTCTTCCCTCCCTGCCCGGGTGATGAGCCGTACGGTCCCGTCCGAGCACGCCGCGGCGAACAAGTCCGACGACCGCGCCCCGGAGCTCGGGAACCAGTCAACAGATGTCACGAAGGCATCCAGCCCGGTTACCTATTTCGGATGCGGCAGGGTGGCATGAATCAACCACCAAGCCGCAGCGAGGCGCCACCGTGTCTGTCAGGCCTTGGCTCTCGTCCCGTGGAGGGCAGTGTTTATGTTGGCCCCTTCGCCATTTGAGATACCGCTGTCGGGGTTCCCGGTGGTTTTGGACAAGAAAGAGCTTCGAAGAAAACGAGGGCGAATTGGTGTTGTTGCACGCAGCGGCTGTTTGGTGTCGTTGACCTTTCAGCAGAGTCTTGGAAGGGGTGGCTCTACCACAACACTGCATTTACCTGATATGTTTATTGTGTGCTCCAACTGGTCTCAGGGAGAGGAACCCTTCTGTGTGACCACGGGTTGGAGGAAAGGCACAAGTGCTGGGAGCGCTGGTTTGAAGTGAAGACAAAAAAAAGAACGGGCGGGCAGATCTACACACACCCGGCAGTCCCGCCTCCGGCAATATGGACTTTTCGCCTAGGCATGTTGTTCATGGAAAAACGTTCGGAATGTATTCTCGTTTGCGAGACAGGTATAGTCTAGGTCTTATCGTCATCGTCGTCGTCGTCGTTGTTATCGTCGTCGTTATTGCTGCAAATACACTGTTCTGGCCGCTCTATACCGTAAGTGACACAAGATACCACACCCGTGTCATAAAATGTTTCGAGGTCCAAAAGTTATCACACGGGTGCGGTATTCTGTAGGGGGTGTGATATCTTGCGTGACACGTGTGTTGCGTTCACAGGCCGCCACCCCGCAGGGGGTGTGATAAAGATGGGTTGTGATATTGTCACCCGCGAAATGAATAAAGTGCGCCGACACGCCCTACCGGGGGTGTGATAACAAAGGGGTGTGATGGTTTCTCGATTGCGGGTGAGGTTGTGCGGGCCTCTATGGCGGGTGGTGTAGCTGCCTTTCCGGCTGCAGGGTGGTGTCGTGCAGGCCTCAGCAGCCCGGTGCCAGGCACAGCAGGTGTTGTTGCGGGAGTATCAGCAGTACGTTCTGCTGCGCGGGCCTCAGAGGCACGGGCGGTGGAAGGCACAGCGGGCGCTGCGGGTGTTCTCAGGGGCCGCAGAAAAATAACGTACTTGGGCGTGGCGCCGCCGCTGGATTCTGACTCACTGCAGTCAGAGCCGCGATGCTTTCAGCAGTGTCGTGTGCTTCGTTGATCTCCTCGATGGTGTCGGTCGCCAGAGCTTTAGAGCAGGGTTGCGTGCGCTTTGTGCGTGATCACGCCCTACCACACTCGGGTGTGCTAGGGGGCTCCGTGATATATGCTTGCGGCTCAACTTAGGGGGTGTGCTATCTTCCGTGACCGTGTAATATGTCGGTACTTTTCTCAAGGGTTCAAACAAATATCACACGTGTGGTTTTCTGTACATTTTCGTTAGGGGTGTGGTATTTTCTGTGGGTGTGGTATCTTGTGTCACCTACGGTATTCAACTCCTTGCAGTTTCTACAGTTTCTCGGCTACTTATGGAAGGCCAAGAAACAATTTGCTATGGTCACAAGCAAAAAAGAAACGAGGTGCACACAAAACAGGGAGAGATCCTGGCTGAGGACCCCACCTTCGCGGAGAAGTCAGCACACATTCGTACAGAAAACGCAAGCACTGCTTGTACTGCTGTAAACACCGAGAGCACACGTGGCACACAGCTGCGGTATCAATGCACTTCACCGTATTCATGTTGAAAACAAGCACCCTTGGGTTCGGGTATCGGAATCAAAGTACGAACACATCGGAGAGCCTCAGGCGAAACAAAACGCGCGATGCACTTCAGGTCATGACACATGACACGGACAGGGCACACCTAGCATGCAGCAGTCAGGAACTCGAGAAAGGCGGCGGAACATCAGCTGTGCTGTGGGCGTAAGCCGTAGATGTTCCTTTGAGCGCAGGCGGCCGATCGTGGTCATCGCTGCTCATTCGAAGTGGAGCATGCATGCCACTGCTGTACTGCAAGCCAAGAACGCACAAGACAGGGAGTAAGCTTCTGGTGGGTGTCTGAGATATGGGCAGAAAGCTGTGCGTGCTTGCCATTGTTTGCCACTCTCCCCGCGTTGTCTGATACGACTTGCGTTTGCGTTGTGGGAGGTCCTTCAGGGGTGGCGGTCGCGTGAATATCGGGATTTCCTTCCAAAACAGAGGCAGGCAACACCTCGAGAGACTTCGGGCTTGTATCCACGCAAGGTCTGGAGGTAGCGCCGCACAACACGAAAGCGCACACACAAGATCGCCCCCCCAAACTCCACTGGCTGTCTCGTTCGTTCAATAGTAGGGGAGTGTCAGTCAGCACTCGCGCGCACCTTTCCTGCTGGATCGCCGGAGCCGTCCCAGCGGTGAACGGTGTTGTCGTCCGACATGGAGTACAGCTCATTGTCCGGCGTCCAGGCTACGGCCGTCACCATCTCCTTGTGCACCCCCGTGCGGCACTTGACCTCCAGCTTCATGGTCCTGGCAGCGTGGTGTGAGCTACGATGAAACAAGTCTTGAGAAAATACTGAAGATCGTGTGTGTGCTGGGCCAATGTGCTGCCCACCGAACCAGCGGCCGGTGGGTAGGAGGTATTTGGTGTCTCCCCTTTAGCTACCGGTATTTCAGCTCCTACGTTGTGGAACTCCTCTTTAGCTCCTTGCCTGTAGTTGCGAGTAAGACGTGGCAAGAGATGGGGAGAGACAGACAGACATGGAGAAGGGGTGCAGATCCCGAGAATTGTGAAACGGTTCAGGAGGTTGCGCCGCACACCGCCGACCATCATCCCATCATAGACTACACCTTGAAGGCTTGGAGGGGCAAAAGCTGGACAGGCAACGAGTACCGAACGATATCCAGCCGGAAACCCTTGGTTCTTCTGCTGTGCTATAGTACTTCTCGGCGATTGCTCGACCCTTGAAGTCAGCAGGCAGGCCGGCGGCGGATTTCGGTGACGGACGTGAACACTTTCTGGCGAAAACAGAAGAGAGATAGTCCACCTACACGCGTGTTCACCTGCAAGGCATAGAGACAGGGGCGCTTGGATACACAGCTGCCCGCTCGGACCTAAAGGTGTGAGGGAGCCCCGCGTGGTTGTTCGGCCTTCGTCGGGCTTGTGTTCAAGGTGTCTGGAGACTGTCTGCCAAGTGCAATGTGTCACCCTATCTCTCGATGCGGGGTTGCAGCAGCCAAAGCCACAGCACCGAAGTTATGCCATGCTACTGCTGTACAAGCTGCACAGACGTGGCAAGGCGAACAGCTGCAGGCTGTGTCTATGCGAGGCCACCTCTATAGCTCTTGGTTTAAGCCCACCACAGCAGTCGTATAGTAAATCACAACAAGCACACGACATGCGGTTATGCAAATTTGAATTTGTGTATACCACGAGGAGAGAGAAAAGAGACGGGAACCCGCCGCGCGCGGTGCCCGGACAGGCGTTGTCACGTATTCAATGCTGACCAATGCAGCAGGCCCTAGAAGGGCCACCTATCATATGCAGACTTAGTAGTACTGCAACAGGGGTGTTTCAACTGGTAGTCATCTTCGGCTTAGGTGATGCAGTCTAACCCCCAAAATAGGCCGTCATTGCATACCGTATCACATCACCAGATAGAGGGTCAAACTTATTGTACGTTGGATAACACCCTGGTTTCCGAGCGGGGCGTGGTTGCTGCTGTGTTACATGGTAGGTGTTGCTGCTGCTACTCGCGTTCTACACGGCCATCTCGACGGTATGCGTATGTAGTGGAATTGTGCTCCATCACCGACTAGTGTTGCAGCCTGTGTGCCATTGTTGCATAGTGCTTCACGGTTAATATCTCAGTAAGACCTGAAGACCTGAAGCTATGTAGCCGTTTCGGTGTGAGCGCGTGTTGGACAAAATTGGGAGGATGTCAACGCGGTGTCGAAGGGGCATCAGCAACGAGTTTTTTTCTCTGTGGGACCAGTCCAACCTACAGCAGTAGGACGCAAGAATCCGCGACACACAGCGCCTAATCCCCGCGAAACAATGTCTTCCATGTGCAACTACGGACCACCGAACCACCGCACCACAATCACGGGACCGCCTTGTCCCAATGGTGGCATCATGTATATGTAGAGAAATGGGGTGTTCCTGCTGCTCGCCTACCAGTCAGCTGTGACTGTTACAGCAGTAGTTGCGGTAGCCCCGATTTCGTTCATCGCAAGGTGCGGCAACAGGAAAGCCAAGAATGCAAGCGCTGATTTCGAAACGGTTGTTTTTTTCCCAAAACATTGCGTCCAAGAGCCTCTCCTAAGGAGGGTCAGCTTCTTGGGATCAGGGTGTCTGAGCCCCCATTTGATGTACCCAAACCCCCAATCCGGAGAGACAGAGTGTCGCTTGTGACGCTCGCTCGCAACTCCGGCGGGTGATGGCTTTACGATTGCATCACATGAGAGTTGTTGAGCGATGGCGACCTGCCGCCCTATCAACCAGCATGTGTGGTGACGGTCTACACGGCCAGGGATGAATGGCTCGGGTGGAGGCTGGTGTTGAAGTTGTGTTTGCCGTTGTGCCGAGAGGAAGGTGGAGAATTACCAGCCCGCTCTATCTGTGCGTTGCCTTGGCCTACGCTCATTTTGTCGTACATGTAGCTTTCAAAATCAAGTTGCTAGACCCTCTTCGATATGATGCATGTACTGTGTGAGACAATGAGGTACAGGACGATCCCTCAGGCGCATACCCAGCGTACTTGGATCATTTTTGGAGCACATCGGCACATCAGCAAACGCTAGCCCAATTTAACAAGCGGTACAACAAAAACAGTCGTTATCAACCAAGAGCAGTAACAGAAAACACAGCAAGAACATGATGGGTTATATCACTGTCGCCCCGCAGCTCGTGTTTGCTGTCGACAAGCGGGAGGGAGAGAGAGATCATAGTTTTGCCAAGGTGGTTGTAGACAAGAAACCGTCACCCGTCCAGCTATGGTTGCCACGGTGGAGTACGTACGTAACCTCCACGACACATACGAGGTTAGTGTAGGAGATCACGCCGTTCCGTCGCTTTTTTCGGAGTAGTAGCCACGGAGTCTTGCACAAGACTTGATGGCGTGACGTATGTATTGCCTGTACTCACACCACGTGTTTTCGGACACGCGACGAAAGCTGCACTTCTGTACGTTTGGGGTACAAAAGCTATATGCAACTCGGACGTGCTAAACTACTGTGTTCCGAATTTATACTTTCAAATCTTGATTCAACGAGCCGCAATTTGTGTCCGTACCTTTGATTTCGCCCTTTTTTTGTCATTTTCCTTGTGATTTTTATATTTATTGTTGTCATTCGGTGCTTCGTTCCTCTCGCCCTCTCCAGGGCCGTAGCGGGCATGGCGCAACAGGGGGCCACACTTCAAAACTATAACAACGAGCTGGTGAAGTGCATTGAGGACTTGAGGGAAAAGCGGGAAGAGGTTAGTGATTCGTCATGGTGGTCATCATATTCGCGTTTTTTTTTTTTGTTCTTGTCGTCGTCGTTACTGCCAAAGTTGTCGCCGTTGCCGTTGGTGCATCGGCGTTTATATTTGTGGCATGCCCATACGCTATTGATGTCATTCGTTTGTTTTTTGTTGGGCTTGCCTTAGCTGCAGGGCCAATGACGGTTCGAACTGTTCAGGGGTTGTGCAGCATCGCTCACGGATCAGCAAAGCTCACCCGAATCGTTTTGATTGCCGTGGGGAGAGTGGCCACAAGTTTGGGCATGAGTGGATGTAGTTGTGATCGATGTAGACCAGGCTCGGGGCGTTTCGTTTCGAGGAACGTTGCAACAGCCAGGGTCGACAGGCCTGGTTTGAAGAGGCATGATTTGCTCTATCCAACAAGATGAAGCATCCCGAACTCTCGCGTGTTGTGTGATAAACGATGGCTTCGCTTCATGTGCACACACAAATCGAAGATTTCGCAATGTTGTGTCAGACCCGATTTCGTCGCAATTAGCATAGCTAGTCTGAACCTCAACCTTAGGCCTACCCGACGCTGGCTTGGCGACGAAAAGGGAGGTTTGTTTGGCGCGCTGCAAACTCCAATATGTTACTGGATTCAAATTTCAAACCACAGAGAGTCGTACGGCTCGGTCGCGAAGAACGAGTTTTTTTCAAGCCGAAACACGTGGTTTTCAACCAAGAGCCATTCTGCTCCCCCCCCCAATAGCCTGCAAACAGCTACAGCCTCTCGTTGTTGATAGCTTGGTACCATGAGCACGCCTCCTACTTCGTGCGGGGGGTGGTGAATTTGTAGCGACACAACAGTGCCAAAGAGCAACTTGGTGGACGTCCTACGTGAAGGCTGGAAGGACAGAGCTTCAATAACACGGAAGATCTTTCTGTCGGGACGAGTAGGACCGGTGGTTAACCAGCTCGAAAGGCGTGCCAAGTAAATTGTCAAGTATCAAGTATCTACGGCACACAACTAAAGTACTACTTCCCCAACCTCTCTTTTCTCCGCATGTACCACCCTGGTGGTTCTGAACAGGTCAACCGGCAGATCTTAAAGGAGGAGGAGGAGAAGGCCAAGATTCAGAAGGACTTGAGCATCTTGACGGACCGGCTGAGCAAGATCAATGAGAGCCTAGCCCGAAAGGTCCAAGCTAGAAATGAGTACGACCGCACCGTGCAAGAGACAGAGGTTAGTTGGAACCTAAAGGGGCTGTGTTTGTGCTTGGGGGTTCCTTCCTTTTTTCCGTTTGGTCTTGGTTCCTCAAGCGGTAAACTGGAAGTTGAAGGGCGGTGGTTATTCTTGGTATAATTGTCCATGTCTTCTTCTGGTTTGGTCGTGTTTCCTCAAGAAATACTCTATTCGTTCGTGATGGCACTGCTATAACGACAATGCGGAGGCACGGCTTAGGGTAGACGCGAAAAAAAAGAAAGTGATTTTCCTTTGCTAGAAAGGGAGGCGTGTCGTTCACCAGCGCGCAGCAGTGCTCTCCCTCTTCAGCTTGTGTTGCGGTCAACCCGCAAGACCTGTCTCTGCTGCTGATTACCGCTCGTCAACCGCGCTCGCCTGCAGTCGTCGCCCGCGATTAAAAAACAAACGGTTAAGAAACAAAGGCAGGCTCAGATTTTGGTGATGAATAAGAAAAGTCGACTAAGAAACACACCTCAGAAGTGGATCCTACACTAAACTCGATATGATGACTACTGCATATATGCTCGACGACAGCAGTGGTGGCGAAAGAAATAATCGAGCCTTGACACCAAGTTGATGTTTCTTTATCGCGGGTGCTGACGAACTGCTGTATTTCCATCCTATCCCACTGTTCAAACAGGCGGCGTACATGAAGATCCTCGAAAGCTCGCAGACCTTGCTGCACGTACTGAAACGCGAGACTGTCAACTTGACCAAGAAGAAGCAGGCGTCGGCGTAGTGACAGGCGGCTTTGGACTTGAACTCGGGCTGTTCGTTAGCTTTCTGGCTGCACAACGGATTATTCCGAGCAAGGGATCTCGCGGAGATATTCAGCAGAAGCCGAAGCCTGCTGTTTCAGGGTGTGTATATTTTTGCTCTGATTGAAAGATCTTTTCGAGCTATTGTTTCTGCCTGGGCTCCTCGTAACGAACAGCAGTCTTATGCTACCAATACCTCATCCAAGAAACTTGTAGCCCGCGGTTTTGAGGCATCCCTTGGGAGGGTCGGGGGTATTGATAGCTAGACGAGTCGTTTTCGATGATTTTTGGAAACTTTATGTCAGTCGACAGCAGTATTGCAGAATCGAAGCGGCTGCTACCTTTATAGTCAGAATTTGGAACAAGTGGGCGGTGTAACCGGGGTCGTGGTGGTGCCAATGAAACCGATAATTGTTGCAACGCGATTAGTCCTGTGTCACACGTCGATTTGCTGACTGGCGCCCCTCCCCCCACCAGTTGTTTTTTTCGTCATCTGTTTTACTTACCGCGGGGTGCTCAAGGTAGGAAGGTACTACGGGTCGGAAGGTGCTGCCTATACTTTCCCTTGATTTGGCTTTCAGTATTGGGGGGAGAACTCGACTCTACTGCGTCTATCGCTCAAGTCACCCTGATGCCTCCGGTGGATTTCCATGGACGGCGGGAGGAGCAACGCGCGCCTCTGCTGTTGTTGAAAATGCAGAGTATGTAGTTCGTCGCATTGTCTGTAATTCGCCGCTCTGGGTGCCAGCTGTATGGCTTTCAATTTTCTTCCAGTTTCTCCTTTCTAAATCTGCAATAGATGGTGGGCGACGTCTGTCTGTTTGGAGTTTGGAGCGATTTCGTGTTTGGTATGCATGCTTCTTCGAGGCGGGCGGTATGCAACAGCAGTTCTTCGTCCCGTTCGACCGTACAGCAGTAGCCCACCAGATGTGTGGCCCTACACACACTACTGCTACAGTTTGCGCCCGCAATTAAGAAATAATTTGTTCAGAAAAATTGAGGCTCACTTTTCCACGAAAAATAAGAAAACAGGGTCAAGAAACATAGCTCAGTCTGGGTCACACAATAAGAAATGTCTCAAAAAGCAGAGAAAATAAGAAATTGCCGATTATTTAAGAAATTCAGCACGATTTGGCGGCACCAAAAATAAGAAACTTCACATTAGAAATTGAACGACTACGCTGAATTTGTAGCCCATAATAATAGGAATTCGAGGCTGGACCTGAAATAAGCGTTTCTTAATTGCGGGCGCTAACTTTTTTTTTTTTTGTCTTAACTTCAAATCAGCGCTCACAGCACTAGTGCCGTTTACCCCAGCCCGTGGTCGTACAGAAGAGGGCTCTCTACCCTCCCCTCCTGCGGTACTTTGCCTTCGATTTTTAATGCGAGAAGAGTTCAGCACTCTCTTCCCTCTGTGTACACACGAACTAGCGCTATCCACTTGGCCAGGAGCGGAAGCGAAAGAAAAACTCACTTTGCAAGAAAAGCTCGCTTACGCCGGGATTCGAACCCCTGGCCTGGCCTCTAGAAGGTTTCGAGGATACCAACCAGACCACGAGGGCGACCGGATCTCATAGATCGTAGAATAGTTCAAGGAGGATGCTCTGTGTGAAGTGACTGTGGGTATATCTCGAATGGGTAGTCTTTCTGTGTGTGTTTTTATTATTCCTTAAGTGTATGAGCACGAAAACACAATCATCTCGGTTCTGTGTCTGTTCGGAGGCAAGTCGATGGATACGTGTGTGATGCTGCGATGCTGCACAGCAAGCTGCTGTCCTGATGTTCGTCCTGATTACGAATCCAAAGCATCTTCTACCTGCACCTATGCCAAGCCCATCGCTCCCGGTCGCTCTTTTTAGAAGAGAAACAGAGGATGAGAGACACACATGCGCGGTATTGAAGTTCACGAATTGCATACCGCGCGGCACGGCGCGCGCCGGGCATATGCCATTCGCAGCGTATCTACAAACACACACCATTGCAGTTGTAGGGACTGATGACCGCTGTGGCCAGCCACAAGCACAGGGCAGTGGTGAAAAGCATGGTTCGAGGGCGTACGCCTCATGGTGTCCTTCCCGGCGCGTGGAGCATAAGGATTCGTCTCTTGTTCGTTCCGGTCTCCGCCGTTTGTCCTCTGTCTGCATAATATTATTGTATTCGAAAAACGACTTTTTTTTGCTCTGAAACCGGGGCGCTGGCTGGCCCACAGGTTTCCGTTCGTTGTGTCGCCACCGAGGACACAAAGTAGCGGAGGGACGCTGCGCCGCCCATGAGGGGGGATGAGCAACAATAGGGCTGTGACCGAGAGAGTGACAGAAGGAAGTGTCCGGCAGAGAGCCGGCTGTCCCCTCGTGGCTTTCCCTCTGTCTATGTACTCTATAAGCATGATCAAGGGGCTGAAACAATGGAGGATGGTTACTGCAAGAGACACATGTGGTCCGAGATCGGTTTGGATCTAGACTACATGTAGACAGACTACTGTTCTACTGATGATGTGCCGTCTTTTCTTTTCGCAAAAAAAAATTGCGGTGCGATGTAGAGCACAGGCGAACGTAGATGCGTAGAGCTCCTATCCGATGAAGGTGCTAAAAAAAAAACGACCATCCTGTGACAAGATGCCGTGCTTTTGGACGGGTACACGCCACATAGCACCAGGCCAGTTCCCGCGAAAGGCCGGATCTCGGAAGCGCGTGGCCCGCGGTGACAGCACCGCCGAGCCTTGGACAGAGGCGAGAGAGTAGAGCGGAGGTGGGTGTGCGCTTGGCGCTGGTGATTGTCGCTTTGGTTGCCGTGTTTTTGTGCGTTGGCGCGCAGAGAGGCGTGGTGCGTGTGTTGGTCGTGTACGCTGGGTTAATTGATTTCTGGGGGTTGGCTCGTTGGCTCTTCGTATGCGCTTCCGTCTTTTTGGGTTTGCCGCTTTGGGAGGCGGGAGAGATCGCCCCTCGTCCTCGCGTATTGTTGTTGTGTCCCGCCGGGTGCAAGTCACACGCTGCAGCGAGGAGTGGCGATCTATCTGTGCGCCTCGTCTCGTTGAGATACACAAAGCGCTGTCGCGGCGAGGTGATGGCTCCACACCATCTGCCCAATGGCTGTTTTTTCTTCGCTCTCGTTCTGCAGGGAGATCGGAGAGAGATCGAGAGAAGAGGCTGACGTGCAGCAGCAGCAGCGTCGACGATGTACGCCTCACACTTTACCGCGGAGCCCGCACGCGGCGAGTCAACCTCCGAGGTCTCGTCGATGCTTCCGCTTTCAAACGCTGCTGCTGCTGCTGCTGCGTCTGGTACTGCTACACGCGGAGTGCCCGAGTTGGACTGGGCACGCCAACAGCTGCTGCAGCAGCAGCAGCAGCAGCAGCAACAACAACAACAACAACAATCCAGTTGGCCGGCTCCTTCGAACTTGGCCGACTGGCGTGGCGACGGCCTGGCCTCGAGCAACGGGCCGGCGGCGCCTGCGGTCGCGACAGGCAGCAGCAGCAGCAGCAGCGCGGGCCCATCCCGCCTCCCCGCTGCCGGATACTCCAGTAACGCTTGCGAGCTTGCTCTGTCTCCCCACGTTGAAATGGCCGCTCACCAACCCACGCCACCGCCACGAGCTCCATCACCCTTTTCTCCCATCGTGGGCGCGCCGCCGCCGGCGGGCGGGTTGACGCCCTCTGCCCCTGAACAGGGAACAGCAACAGCGGGAGGAGGAAGAGGAGGAGCATTTGCGGACGAAGCTAGTTTGAATCGTAGTGGCGCTGCTGCTGCTGCTGCTGCTGCTGCGACGTACAGAAGCGCCCAGCAGCAGGACGAGGGTGGTGCCTCCACTCCCCCGCCGCGCGAATCAAAATCTCCGAGCGTGTCGCCCGGGGCCACGACCTCCCCCGGAGGGAGCAGCAGCGCACCTCGCACTACTCCCAAAAAGAAATCGAGGTTGGTCAAGAAGAAGAAACCAAAGGTGGGCGCGGCGGCGGATGGGCCCGTGAGGAGGAGGAGGGTGGTCAAGGTCAAGAAGGCCCGGCCGCCTGAGGTGGGGCTGGGAGAGAGGGGACGAGAGCGGTCGATGAATATTTTGCGTCTTCTGGCTGGCAGCCCGCTCTCGGAGGAGTTTCGGAAGCCAGTGGTGCAGCTGCATCCCGAGGTGAGGATGCTGCCGCTTACACGTGTGTTCACTAGTGTTCGCGTATGCATGCATGGTATTTCTATTATTATACTGTTTAGTTGATGTACTGCAGTGCATGTGTCGTGGCTATTGTAGTGTTACTCTGTTTGGTGTTCTTCTACAACCTGGTACATTTTTAGTGGGTCATGGCATCCCGTTCACTCATGCGTTCGCGTTATCGTCATGTGGTGTACGTGTCTATGTGCTCGAAGGAAGGCTGCCCCCCCTCTCCCGTTGGTCTCGCACATGCATGCATGATTAGCCAACAGCAACAGCAGTAGTCGAAACAAACGTGTGCTTAGAAGTACTTTGCGCCAAAAATAACACGATTTTGAACGCCTATTATTAGTCTACAGCAGTACTTCCCACGACGGTCCTTTGCCCTCTCCCCAGCAGCACATCAATGTAATGTAATCTGTTACAAGCAGGAGGGTTTGTCCAGGACTGCGTGCGCGTTATATTTTTGTTTCAGCACACGTGCATTTTCCCCCCTTCAACAAGGCGGTGAAGTGTGCAATTCTGCGCTCATGTTTTTACTCTTGTGCAGTGTTGGATCTCACTTGCTGCTCTGCTACAAACTCCATGTGCTGATCATTTCGGCGATGATAGGTACTCGTACTTACACATCCTGCTGTTCCACTCAAATGCTTTTGGAAACCTGTTATTGCGCCCTGGTGCGTGTGAACAGCAGTTTCTTGGACCGGGTGGTTGAATCCCATTCCCCCTTCGCCATCGAACCCCTGACCTGTCTGAATCCTTGGCTAGACACTACTCACCTCCCCCCCGAATATTAGATATTTTGGCTGTAGCACAAGGGTAAGGATATTTTACCGTGTGCGGTGGTTAATATCTACGGAGGCGGAAGGCGCCGAATGCCTCATCGATGGCCTGTGCAATCCCCAGTGTATACATCGTGCACCAATAATCTCAAGTGGCCCAAATTATTAGGGTCTTCTCTGCATGCTATGGAGAGACTGCATATGCTGTATGTAGGAGAGACAAGCGACGAACACCCTATATTTGTCCCGATTGTTTCTAGGACCGGTGCATGACTGCTGCCAACAGCGAACGACGTGGCTGCCGCAGTAACGTATGAATACATCTCGTCGCGGCTGAAAATCAGTCTCCTCAACGACATCGGAAGCGACTGGCTGCTGTTGCTTGAGCCTCTAGTCCAAGTCGCTAGGAATGATTTGGATGACCTCGACCTACCCCCCTCCAAAAAAAAATGTCCTCTGTGCCGAGACCTTGTCTCGAAACCCACAACGCCACCCCGCTGACGAGAACTTTGTGTTTTCGTGCTTGCGACGCAGCTGGCGGAAAGATACACGGTGGAGGTGCGACGTCCCATCGACCTCACCACGGTGGCTAGGCGAGTCAGGAGAGGCACGTACGACAACTCCGCGGGCCGGCTGAGGCGCGACATCGCCCGCATCTTCACCAACTGCGAGAGGTTCAACATGTGCAGTGGTCAGCTCTTCGTCGGCATCGCGCGTCATCTGAGGGTGAGGTTGGGTGAGGGAAGCGGGGGCCCGCGTTGTGGGGATACGCATGCCTTGGTTGCCCTTTGGTCGCTTGCCCGTTGGCGTAGAAAGTGGTATGACAGATGGGACACACCAGGAAGAGCTTCGCAGTGGCACGACCGACTACATTTCTCGGGGCGACTGGGTCGGTCGCTCTCGCACCAGTGTCACACAGACCCGCCATGCACCATCCTTCTTCTGTCAAAAAGCTTGCTCGCTGAACGAAACTATTACACTCCCCTGAAGTACGTGCCCCTCCCGTCCTTGCACCCCCGCGGCAGGCGCTTTTCGAATCAAAGTGGGCGGAATCCGACCTGCCGTACCCTGGAGAGAGCCAGGCCACCTCGCACCGCCGACGCGCCGCTCTCCGCACTGCCAGGTACCGCCTGTGCTGGCGAGCGCAGCTGCGGGGCCCCCTCCGCGAGGCCGCCCGGCAGGCGGTCCGGGCGGCGAGCGCGGCGGCTCTCGCTGCCGGCGGCCCCGGCGCGAACGGGGTGTCGCGGGAGTTCTCCGAGGACATCCTGCCGATGCTCTCAGGGGAAGGGGAGGAGAGCAACGAGGAGTGGACCCTAGGGCTCTTCGCGGAGCGGGCGTGCCTGGCCCTGGGGTTGCGGGCGAACCAGCCCCCCCCGGTGGAGGAGGCGTGTCCGGGTGGCGGTGGCGAAGCAGCAGCAGCAGCCGCCGCCGCCGCCGCCGGCGAGAAGGCCGGGCGCGACGCCTGCGCGGACTGGCTGTTCGGCCCTCGACAGGCCGCCTGGCTGGCGGCGGAGACGGCGCCAGCCGGGGAGAAGCGGGACCCGGCGTCGGCGCCGCCCCCTGTGGCGACCGCCGCGGTGGTGTCGGCGGCGTGGCGGGCCCTCGACGGCGCTCTCTCGCCGGCGACGGTGCTGGTGGCCTCCAACGCGGCGCGGGGCACCCCGTTCTCGTCCGTGTGGGCGCGGCCGGACAAGCTCGTCTGGGCCAAGCAGGCGAAGAACACGTTCTGGCCGGCCATGCTGCTGTGGGGCAGCGGCACCACGGCGGCCCTCAAGGAGGTGAACATGGGCAGGGTGCCCCCAGCGTTCCGGGAGGAGCTCGAGAAGCAGGTGTGCGTGTATGAGGTTTTTTAATTGTTAGCATCGACCGCGCTCACCGGCTGGCCAATGAAAATGCGTCGGTGTGCGTGTGTGTTTATTCATAAGGTAGTTCGGCACGACCGCCTTGACCAAACCGGGCGGCCAACGAAATTTACGTCAGTGTCAGCGTGCAACAATCGAGGTACTCGCAAGAGGACCAAGCTTCTGGATGGGTGTGGGCGTGGGTGTCGGTGTGTTTTTTTTTTTTCTGGTGTACTGCGAAAAATTATCACTGTCCTTTTTTGCTCAACGACTCGGTCTCTGCCGTGTCCTCATCGCCCTTTTGCATGCGCTTCACGAGAACCTTCGATAGGCCTGATCGATCACCGGTGTTGGCCCAATCACTCCCAAAATGTGGATCCCATCTGGGCCGTGATTATCGGTAGGTCCCGTGCAAGACCCCCGGCCCACCCTCTCATATCCTCGGCGCACTATTCCCTCTTCTTTTTTCTTTTTTTTGTTGCTGGTTGCGGCGCAACAGGCGAAAGGAACGAAGGGAAACAACAGAAACGGCGCGGTAGTGGAGTTCTTCGGATTGCATGAGTTCGCCCTGCTCAAGCCGGACGCTCTGAGGCCACTCTCCACCCTCGACAAGAGCCCAAACAAAACGGTGCGCGCACTGTTGTCATCTTGGTCGGGATTGCCCACCGGTACCCAAATCGTTGACCTATTGAATCGACGCACGCCACCGGTTGTTTGTTTAGTTAATTAATTAGGGAAAAATTATTTGTTGTTATGGACGAGTGAGCCACGCTGCGATGAAACCCCTACGACGTACCTGTGCTGAGAACACGGCATTTTTTTTTTTTGCGCCACCCCCGGTTCACGGAAGAAGAGCTGTTAGGATAGCATTTTCGAATTCCCGCATACGAGCATGGTGTTTTCGTGCTCGCCACTGGCCTGCGGGCACGTTGCGAGGGCGTGCGAGTTCGGCGTGGGAGGAGGTTTGGCGATGCGCCGGCAGCTCCCGCGCGCGTGTTTTCGCATGCACTGCCCTGTGTGGCTGAAGAGGAGGCGTGGACGTACGTTCCCGCGCTCGTCATATTTTCTTCATTATTTTCATGCTAGGTTGCTCTTGGTGTTGTCGTTCATGTTGCAATATGTAGCATCAAAGATCATGTTCGTTGACATGTTCACCGCTCCCCCCCCCTTCCCCCCGACCACGTGTCTGTCAGGTGTCGAAGAATAAGCGGTGGGACCCAACGATGGAAGAGGCTAGGAAGGCCGTGGTCAACCTGAGGGATCTCGAGACATCGATGTACATGCCGCAGCCGGAGCCCGCAGCAGGACTGAACGGGTTGACGATGGAACCTTCGAGCGAAGAGGTGGGAACGGTGTTCGGAATTGATGTTTCCTCAGCCATTGACCCGACCTCTCGGTTCTTTCGTCATGCCGTGGTAGTGTTGGAACCAGGCGCTTGCTCGCGTGAGTTCGAACCTTGGCGCAGCCACGCGATTTTTTTTTTTTTCTCACGGTATGCCTAGAACGAATGTGGCCGAAGTTGCAATAGTTCGTGTGTACGTAGTTCTGGCTGCATCCGTCTCGCCATTAATTTAAGGCAAGCCCCTCAGAAGAAGAAATTAGCGGAGAAAATTAGAGGAATTCCTCTTCGGTGTGGCGTTCTCCTCTGTGACCTCGACCGCTGCTTCCGACAAACCTATGGTTGTTGTTGTACATCCAGAAATGTATAGATATAGGGGGGCGTCTAGAACATCCGGGATGCAACACTCAACGCACACACAGGCATATTTGAGTTGCGGCGTTTGTCTTCTTCCTGTTGGTGGTACTACATGACCAGGCACAACAAGAAATCACAAGTACGTTTCCTCCCACATGACGCCGATCCTACACGCAGTGCGTACTCTATCTGACCCCCCCCCCCCCCCCTCCCTTCACATATTAAAGCTCCACCAGACGGGGACACCGGCCTCCGACACCGATACCTCTAGCGGGGAGAGCACCCTCGAATCGGACACGGAGTCCAACGCGGATTTGGCGTCGCCCCCCACGGCGGAGTGCTCCTCCTCCTCCTGCTCTTCCTCCTCCTCCTCGCCCTTCCCCGCTCCTTCCTGCACGGCAGCCGTCGCGGGATCGGCGTCGTCGGTAGGGGGCCCGCACCGAGACTCCCTCGGCGGCGGGGGGGCTCCGTCTTCGCTGAGGGCAATGTCTCCGCCGCCGCCCCCGACGCGAGCGACGCTGCTTCTGTTGTCAACGGGCGTCTCTCAGCAAGTTGTGTGACACACACCGCCCGCTGTTCTACATTTTACTCGTGTTGTTTCATTTCTGGCCCGCAGACCACAGCGCTCTCTCTGGCTGATTTGCCGTGGGTAAAAAGTGGGGAGGCTCATGTGGTTGGTGTGTGCTACGACGGGGTGACCGACAT